CCCCCCAATGAAACACCCTCTAAGTGCATGTTCAGGCCATCCATGAACTATGAGAGCCAACCTCTCAAATTTTTGCTGGTATTCTTTCACAGTTCTAGTTTGTTTAAGTCTAGTTAGAGCCTCGTCAAAATTAGCAAACCTAGAGGGACCAAATCTAGCACGAAAAGCCTCAGTAAAGTCCATTCATGTGATTTGGGAGTGGGTCCTTCGAAACCATTGAAACCATAAGCTTGCCTCACCATCTAGGAAAATCAAAGCCATAGAGACTCGTTGTGAAGCAAGAGTCTCATGAAATTCAAAGTAGTGTTCATCTCTATGAAGGGGGAGGGATCCTCACCAAAAAAAAAAGGAAATCTAGCCTTCCCACTCATCCAAGTGGAGCTCTAGATCTTTGTGAACTACCGACAAAGGAGCTTTCAGACTCATCTTCCTTGTTTTTTTTTTTTATCAATAACAACAGATTTCATTAAATAGTAGTAAACTTACAAAGAAGAGGAGCTAAGGTATCTTAACTCCCCAGAATTTGGGAATGCACCCAAACTGATAAAAACAACAATTACAACTGAGCCCAGAGCCTAGAAACCCTATTAACCCCTTGCCTAGCTAATCCATCAGCAAAGGAGTTTGCATTTCTCTTTACTCAAAAGTACACTGAACTTCCATATTCTTGATCAGCCATTTGAACTTTCTCTTTTCATTACTGTAGCTCCACATCTTAGAAGTTTCTTCTTTTAGCCAATCCACTACGATCACAGAATCTCCCTCTATAATCAATTTCTTGACATTTAGGTCTTTAGCCCTTTGTACCCCTTCTAAAGCTGCTAACACCTCAACCCTCAAAGAGTCTCCCACTCCAATTGGGCCAAAGAACATAGCTATTACATTACCTTTCTCATCTCTTAACACACCCCCCCCCCCCCCAATACCCGAAGGCCCTGGATTCCCCATGCTACTACCATCAAAATTCAGTTTAATAAAACCAGGAGGTGGAGGGTTCCATGTGAGATTCGAGGTTTTCTTAATTGAGACTGACCTAGAAATTTCTTTCCATTTTCTTAACATATCATCTGTTGAAAAATCTGTGAACTCATCCATTGTTTTCAGCCAATGTAATACTCTTATATGAATCACTTCTAACATAGTTTCCAAACCTCTCTCCTTTTCTGAAAAGATCCTTGAATTTCTTTCTTCCCATATTGTCCAACAAACAGCAGCCCTCACACATCTCCACATGATTCTTGATCTTTTTGTAGGGTAGTCAAGAGAAGAAGGAAAACAAGCTTTGCACATTTGTTGGGGAGATCCACCTGCACCCAAACAAATAAGCAAACCATTCCCAAATATTTTTTGCCAAAACAAGTGTGGAGATAAATTTTGCAAAGAACGCACCAGTGTGGAGATAAACAGCTATTGGGTCTTTTTCTTTGAAGAAAATCACCTGTGTTAACTCTTTCCAGGAAAGCTTCCCAACAGAAACTCCCAACCCTTGGAGGTATAGGTTGACACCACACTTCCTTGACAGAGAATGACAAGCCAATAGGAATTTCCGATTGTATTAGGGCTTTAAAGGAGGCACAAGTAAAGGATCCGGAAGGAGACAGTCCAAATCCTACTATCTGTTTTTGATGGCTGGAGAGATTTGATCGAACCGGGTCGTCACTGCCGAGAGCGCCTCCTTAATCTCCTTCAGATCTCTAGAGAATTTGTGGAGGTCTACTTCAATTTGATCTACACACTCATTCACAGGCACTGATCTGGATGTAGGCATGGTTGGATCATGGGCTTTGATACCAATTGATAAAACCCACTCCTCTGTTGGTGAATCTGAGCTTCTTCAAGGGAGTTCAACCTCCTGAAATGGATACAATCCAAAGAAAGAAAGAGGAAAGAGAATTCCCTTCCCTTTTGCCATACTTCGAGCAAATAACTTCTCTCCATAAGCTGTCCACCTCTTCATTATATGACCGTTTTGGAGGGCTTTCACACAGCAGCTGCTTGCATTGCAAGGTAGGCTCTAGATGGAAAGCCATCAAGTCATGTTTGGTGAAAACCCCAAAAAGCCAAAAATAGGCCTACATGAGCTGAGAAATCAACTTTTCAGTGAAGCTATTTTCAGTAGCTTCTCAAAAGCGGCTCAATCAACACAAAAGCCCTCCCAAACAGGCCTTAATCTCCAATCAACACAGCTTCATTTGCAAACGTACATATACATTTTTTTATAAATAACAGTGGTATTATATTATATGCCTTAAAAGAAACCCCCATGCATGTCCAGGCTCGACAGCAAGGGAAGTACATAAAAACAACTTAAGCTGACCATACACAGATACATGAAAATAAAAAACTTTCAGGTTACAATTGCACCCTAGGCCCAGGTATTCCCCAAATACATCCTTGTGTCATCACTCCTGCTCTAGCTAAGCTATTGGCTATGGTGTTAGCCTGAACAAGTATTCCCCAAATACATCCCAGGTATTCCCCAAATACATCCTTCTGTCCACCTGAACAAGTAGTTCAAGCTACATCTAGTGGATTGGGCTTCCCTAATCACAGTTCTAAACCTTCATGGTGGTTCCTCTTCAGCGTTAAGCCAAGAGTAACAAATTGGCTATCCCCTTCAATTAGGAAAAAAAGATAATTTTTTATTCTAAATAAAAATGCATGCATGTATGTAATTCTTCAAGTGGGCTTGGGTTGGGTCGTGCTTGGGCTACCTAAGGCCTCAACCCAAGCCCAACCCAAGTTTAAATCAGGTTCAATTCTTCTAGCCCAAGCTCAGCCTGCAGCCTGAAAACTTAGGCTCAACCCATGCAAAAACTTGGGTTGCACCCAGGCAAAGTTGCAGCTTTAGACCTAACCTTTGGCATTTTTTTTCACAAGTGGCTTCTCTCAGACTTAACCCACTTGTCAGCCCGAGATTTTACCATTACACCAAAACAATGGCCCCTATAACAAAACAACCTTCCAAATAGTTAATCTAGAGAAGATTTCAGTCTGTGCTACTGCTAAATTTACGGCTAGGGTGGCGTTCAGTAAATCCAAAGTCTGAAGTCTGAAAAGTTAAAAAAAAAAACTTTGAAACGCTCTGAAAGTAATCCATGGAAATTTTGCGTTTCTACTTTTGCAGAAATCTAAATGCAGTGGAGTTTTTGAGTAATCTGAATGTTGTGTTGTCTAAAAATGTGCATTTTACAAATTTACCCATCAAATTATTATTTAAACAGCATTAGCAAAAATGATTAAAATATTTTGATATTATAGTATAACAAAAAAATAAATGTTAAGAAATAATAAAATTAAAAAAATAATAAATATGATTAACATGATTAATATAATAAAAATAATTTTAATTTAAAAATATTATAAAATAATAATTGTCTTCAAATATTAATACTATAAAATAATCTTAATTGAACAAATATTTTAATATTTTATAAAACATTATAAAATCATATTAATTTGTTTATAGAAAATATTGGAATTCTAGAGAGAAAATGGTAAAATATAAATATAAAAAAAAAAGGTAAAATGGAGTCAAAGTAGTGGTGGCGGCAGGAAGATGAAAAACGAAGTATGGGTGAAATATCAATTTTGATTAATTTTACAAAGGGCACACTTGAGCTAAGAGAGGAAATGTTTTCTCTCAAAGTTTTTAGTCTTCGTTTTTACAAGGGCACACCTAGACTCCGTCCATCTTTGCTTCATGAGCGGCTGAAGCCACCCTTCTCCCTATCTCCTCTCTTTGTCATTCCCCCACTCTCTTCTTCTTCTTCTTTCCACCTACTATTGCCCAATTCAACGAAAATGCAGAACAAAGGGGTGACCACTAGCGCTCCCATTTCCCTTCTTCTTAGTGCCACCAAACTACCGTTCTCCTTCCCCATTCCCCCCTCTTCTTTTTCTTTTCCTTCTTCTCTGACAGGGAAGAGAGAGAGAGAGAGAGAGAGAGAGAGAACAGTTGGCGCTGGGCTCGATCCTGGTTCGCAACTCCTTTGTTCACCAACAATGAGGAAGAGATGAGAGAGAAAGAAGAAAATTGTGTTCGCTACCTCCAAACGCATTCAGATGTAGCTCAACATCTGAACTCTTTGGAGGCCTTTTCAACGTTTGGAGGAGCGACCCGGAGATGCAACCGAATGACCTCCAACTACTGCAAAGCATCATTTTCAACATTTGGAGGTCAATTCAGCACTACCAAACACCCCTTAAATATTTCTACCATAAGTTGACATAGGCAAACCTATGCTACTGCTATAAATTTTCTAATCATTTATGCTACTGCTACAATTTCAGGTTTGACATAGGCAAACCTAGGGCTTCAACGGGAAATTTCTCATTTGGAAATTGACTTGAGATTTTGATTTTACACTGCATTCTCACTTGATATAAAAAATCAGATTATATATTACTGGATTATAGTTACAACAAATATTTTATACTGTCAAAGCATTGGATTCAGAGGTTCAGTTAGGAAGATAATACCATGTTGCTTGACAAGGTTGACTTCAACCAGCAGGTAAAAACTCAATCAAGCCCCAAATGTTTTTTACATTTTCACGGAATTTAAAAACTCAAGGCTGCACTTTAGATCTTCTCTTCTAGTAAGTTCTGGAAGTATTTAACACTAATTGTATCAGTACCCACATCAAGCATATATAATATAGCGCTCTACACTAAAATATGGACAACAAGACTAGCAACCTGAGAACTGAAAAGCTCCACATATGCTAAAACCTAGCTGTAGGCAAATAGCATCTATTAAATGGGAACTGCACATAAAACAGGTAATCAATTCAGCAACCTCAGAAATGAAAAGCTCCACATATACTAAAATCCAGTAGGATACAACTGCAATATGTTAAGAGACACTTGGTAAGGAGGATACCATATAATTGTACCAACCAGGAAGAATCCTATGAGACTGAGTTCCAATGATAGAAAAAAAAATCAAAAAAATTGTAATAACCACAAGGAAACCATGAGGAGGGTCTGATGTTTACGTGATTACAGCCGGTAGGTCTAAACACAGAGTCTCAAGACCACCATCCACCTCCCTTTCCACAGTTGCTACCTGCTTCTCTTTATCCAGTACAACCTACTAAAGAACAGAAAAAGGTCATAACAAAATAAAAGAACTATTAGAATGGAATAAAACAAAAACTTCCTTTCAATTCCAACAGCAAGTTTCTTTTCAGGATCTATAAAACCCAATGATCATCATGCTGCTCTTTTGCAGATAAAAAAAAGTGATCATCATGTTGCTATCAAGGAAAAGAAAAACTTATGGACATGTGGACATGGTTGTCAAAGCATCAGCACACACACACAAACACATAGAGAGAGAGAGAGAGAGATTATTATACTATAATATTACCTACCATAATATAATGACACCAATTTTTACCCCTAGGCAACCACCTTGTGCACTAGGTATTATTTGTAGGCACATGCACATACAAAGTTTGAACTTAGAATTATGTGTCTTACAATGAGTAATCCAAAAAAAAATATTTATATATGAGAAATCCAAAAAATATTTATATATGAGAATTGGTAATAAAAAGGGAACAGACAAACAACCCAGAAGGCTTTACAGTGTACCACCCTCTAGATCAATTGCAACCACCCAATTAAAGACAAAATCCCTTTTCTTAAACATGTTGAACTCTTTCGGCACCAAAACCAAAACACATGAAAAAGAAAGACCCTTTCAAATTCCAAAAGTTATGTTCTTCCTTTTCAAACAAACCAGCATATCACAAAGGGAACCATGACCAATTCTCCCAAAGAGGCAATACTTCAGACAGGCAAGGAGAGAAGAATAGAACAGATATATCAATCAAAATGAATGGAACACATATTCTGCAGGTAAAGCAATCCATGACAAATAAAGAAAAGAGCTCCTGTAATGCAAAAAAAAAAGGCAGTAAAGCAACAATTGATCCACGGATTCCTATTAACTCCCAAATAAAAGATCAGAATGCCCCCATTATTAATGTGGTTGACTGTGATGATTCAGGAATACCATCCACATGAAAGCTTCAACTCTAGGGGGTGTCAAACAACCATAATTAGAACCAGCCTCCATATATTCTTAGGTCCCTTGCCAGGGCCACATAGAAACATTACAATGTGTCAAAGACAGCAAAAAATACCCACCACTCCAATTATCTTCCCCAAATCTAACTTTTAAACCACCTTCCACATTGAAGCTGTAGAGCCAAACATTGATTGCAGTCTCTAATAATGATTTTTCAAAAGCTAACACTGTTAGAAAGAGTAGCATTTCTTCCTCTTCCCTAGGGAATCTCCACAAACACTCTCCTAGAAGAGCTTCTTTCATAACACCCATCCTTCTGAAACCCAAAACACCAAGAAGGCTAGTGCAGAAACCCATTAACCAAAGAAAGTTTTCTTTTATCCCCACCAACACTCCATAAGAAGGAGACTACTAGGCTGGATGCTCTTTCCCATAGATGGGTTGTCAATGCTACATCATTACATTAGAGAAGATCATTTGTGCATAGATTGAATAGCTCTTTTTTTACAAGGGAAATACTTAATTATACTATGAAAACAACAAAGAGCCCAGCAACAGAGGACAAAGAAAAGGCAAGCCACACAGAAAACAAACAACAAGAACAATTAACCAAGGTTTGGCAGATCAAGTGCAAGCTCACAAATCCACAAGGGGCAATGTTACAGAACCATCCCCGATCCTTAAAACCTTTGTTCACTAATGCATGAGCCACCGTTACTGTCTCTTTAATAAAAAGCAAATGAAACAGATAAGCCAGCTGCAAGATCAATGATATCTTTCAGCAAAAAATAAAAATAAAAATAACTTCCAGGTTGATGTTGGATGTATCACCACAAGCACAATTAATAAGACCTTGACACTCGTTCAAGTGTTACTTAGGCAAAGCCGCAAAAGGTGACAACTCTTCTTGTCAGCCTTAATAGTGTTGCATTTACAGCTATAATTGTGTCAAATTCAGATTGGATCTAGCCACATCCAAGTCTGATCTGATCATTAAAAACCTAAAATCCAAAATCCGATCAGATCGGGGGGTCTCAGATCAGATGGGATTCATCTGAGCCCATTTCACCATCTTTAAATTAAATAATAATAATAATAATAATTACAATAATAAAAATTACAAATGCATTAATCACTCATTGGCTTACATATTGAATAAATTTATACAAATAGAAATAATAGATTTATTAATCATAAACTTTACATATGCATATTATATAAAAATTTAGTCAAACTTGAATCTTAATTGGATCAAGTGGATTTAGATACACATCCAATCCAATTATTAAAAAGATGCACTTTTTAATATCTGAATCCGAACCATTTATGTAAACAGATCATCCGGATCTGGAATAATCAGATTAGGTCTCATGCTTTCAGACTCCATTGATGGCCCTAGCTACATTGCATGGTCCCTCCTCTTTCTATTCTAGTGGAAGGGAATTCTGAATGCCATCAGATGGAGAAAGGATTTTGGGAGAGGCCCATGGAATGGATACCTAACAAGTTGAATGACATTCAACAACTATTGGGATTTGAGCATCTGTTTTGAGATGGATTTCTAGGGGCTTGACTCTGCCATGGTTGGATTAGCCAAGTCTGTAGCAAATAGGGAAAGTCTGTTTGGTTAGGATTCATTGCCATATATTTCATGTATAGAACGCCTTTTTATGTATAGCACTGATGAACCGGTGATGGCAATCAATCATGTCTTTTGTCATTTATTCTTATCTTAATATAGAAGAATGTTCCTTGGCCCAATGAAGTTCCTAAACTGAGCAAAAGAAAATGAACCAATTTGATAGGTAAGAAACTGAGAGATACAACAATTCTGCTATGTACTAAAAAGATGGGCAATACTAACTTTTGAAGCGAATGTTCCCTGAGGCCACTTGAGCAGCCCCGCAACCATTTGCCCCGTTTGATTGCAGTCATCATCAATAGCCTGCACAGCAATTCGGACAACCAACAGATAATATTCTACTTATGTGCATCTTTCAGTAGCCACGATTCAAGGAAAAAGGATTTAAAAGAAAATCGAACGGAAAGTTTGAACTCCAAAACCCTAATTCTGCAAATTAAAAGTTAAATCTGACGGACCTGTTTACCGAGGATGAGGAGGCCAGGTTTCTCGACATCCACAAGGGCTTTTAGGAGCTTGGCGACGGAGAGGGGATAAAGAGTAGCCGGAGAATCGACGTGGATGGCCCTATCAGCGCCCATGGCGAGTCCAGTCCTAAGGGTGTCGACGCACTGGGCGGGGCCCATGCTGACGGCAATCACTTCCGACGCCAATCCTGCTTCCTTGATGCGTAGAGCTTCCTCAAGAGCAATCTCGCAGAACGGGTTCATCGACATCTTCACGTTGCTGGTCTCCACACCGCTCTGATAGTTTTGAATGCATGAATACATAATCATTGAATCACGAGCTCCATGATGATGGTGATCAAGAATTCAAGATAATAAATTCACAAGTTTATTTTTAAAATTAAATTGATTTAATTGTGTTGATTACCTTGTCGGGTTTGACTCTGATCTTAACGGCGTAGTCGACGACTCTCTTTACAGCGACCATGATCTTCATCTTTGTTCCTGTACTATTCACGACCACCGTTACCGTAGCTGAAAGCAGTAACAGAAACAGAGGAGAGTAGTCCGCTGTGTATACTCTTCTGTAGCTTCGGATAAGATTGCCACTTTTGGAAATGAGGTTTTCTTTTCTCAGAAAAAAGAAAAAAAAAAATAGGTTGAACTTCGGAGTTCGGATGAGGATGCCACTTCAGGCACTGCTTTACGTGGTGACGAATATTCCCAGCCTAGATGGATCGGACAACCCAGACAGCATATCAGAATTCAGAGCTTTTTCGATAGGTATCAGAATTCAGAGCTTAGCTTCATGTAGGGCTGCAAATAGTGCTGGTTTATACGAATTCAATACGATAAAGGGAATCCATCATCAAAATTTCCGTTTATAATTGAACTGAACCTGAATCCATCCTTTTTTTTTTTTTTTGAACTGAACCTGCAGAGCTTTTTCGATAGGTATCAGAATTCAGAGCTTAGCTTCATGTAGGGCTGCAAATAGTGCTGGTTTATACGAATTCAATACGATAAAGGGAATCCATCATCAAAATTTCCGTTTATAATTGAACTGAACCTGAATCCATCCTTTTTTTTTTTTTTGAACTGAATCCATCCAAATGGGATTTCATATAAAAATATAAGTATATGTTTTATATGTGATTTATATGTGGTAATTAAATGGTGATCAAAATAGTGATAATACGTGTTTAAATTTTTTTTTTAATTTTTTATATTTTTACATATAAAATAATTTTTATTTATCATATTCATTTTTATTTTATATTATGAATATATAATATTAATATGTATCTAAATGTTTTCTATAAAATTTTTATAATTTTGTAACTTTTGTGTTTTTTTACTTTTTAATTTTTATTATTTCATTTTAATATTAAGGATTGATACATTTGACTCAAAATGTTGAATTATTGATCCATCACCAAATAAGAAAACAATTTTATTTTTGGGTCAGTTTTAAATTTTAGATTTCCTTTCTATCATTGATGAAAATAATTCTCATCTTTCTACAATTTTTTATTTTTAATTTTTATAATTATTTCTATTTCAAATTTTTATTATTTAATTATAACATCATGTATTGGCCCATTTGACCCAAATGATTGAATTTCTTACTCACCACTCGGCAATTGAAGTAACCCTCTCAAAATCAAAGCAATCCCTTTGATGCAAACCCTTTACTAAGTTCTTACAAAAGGACATTCCCTTTGAGTGGACCCCTTAATTGCCAAAAATCCTTTGAAGACATCAAGTCCCTTTTTCCTTTGCCCTCCCATTCTTATTCCACCTCAACCAAACAATTCTTCACTCCTTTATATTTTTGTTAACAATGTCACTCTTGGTTGCTTATTAGCACAATATGACTCTGCCAATATAGAACGAGTTGTTTATTATCTAAGTTATATATTAATAGAGTACAAATGCAAATACACTCCTTTAGAGAAGAAGGCTTGTTTGGTTATTATCTTCGTTGTTCAAAAATTATGTCATTATATGCTTAATCACCAAATCAAATTAATTACTAAATTTGGCCCCTTAAAATACCTCCTAAACAAACTAGCCTTCACTGGTCACTTTATTAAGTAGCTTTTTATTCTTTCAAAATTTAATATCCAATATACACACCAAATTGCAATCAAAGGTCAAGCAATTGTCGATCAGCTAGATGCCCATGCTTTACCTTCTTCTACTCCTTCAATCAAGGTTTTAAAAATCGACCCGAAAATGGAACCGTTCTAGCTACCGGTTTCTGGGTCAGCGGTTTGACCTTCTGGGTCGAATGATTCGAACGGTTTGCTATTAGGGCAAATATTTTATGAGTTATGAGATTTGAGAAAGGAGATAAGAGATGTTGTCGGCTGAGAAAGAAAAAAAGAAAAAAAAAGAAAGAAAGAAAGGAGAGGAAAAAAGTAAAGAAGAGGGAAAGGAAGGAGGGAAGGAGGGAAGAAGAAGGAAGAGGAGGGTGATTCAATGCTCACCGGCGACAATAATGGCGACGGTGATGGCAAAAGCGGAGGCAACAGACTTTGAGTTCTCAGATCTTTTTCTTCTTCTTCTTCTTCTTCTTCTTCTTCTTCTTCTTCAAATCTAAGATACGAACTCAGATACTGCAAATCGCTGTCCAGGTCAAACGAGTTGAACGTCCGGGTCAGCAGTTTTTTGACATAGTCAACGATTTTTTTACCCAAAAACGAGTTAGGGATGAAATGGAACCAGTTGCTTGGACAATTTCTAGGCCGAACGGTCCAACCGTCCGAATCAACGACGGTTCAAAAACATTAGTTCAAATCCTCAATTCCCATACTAGTCCATCTTACACATAAATGAGCATCCTAAAACATGTTGAGGTATGCTCTTTAATGGTTCTTATAACCAACATGGTGAAGGGCTTAGAGTTGTCTTTCCCACACTTAATGACATCCTAATTCCTAAAGTCTACTGATTAGCTTTTTCCAACCTCTAAGGTATTTCTAAATATGAAGCTTTAATACAAGGCCTTCAAGTAGACATTGATTTATATGTTAAACATATCAGAATCTTTTACGATTCACAACTTATTGACCATCAAATCAAAGGATCCTATCAAACTAAAGACCCCAAACTACTCCTTTTACAAAGTACTAGTGGACAAGTTGCTCACTCACATTACATACTTAAAAATTCCTCAAAGATCTCGTTCCAACAATCATTATGTTGATGTAGGTATAATCGGCCACTTCACTAGATGACGACACATGTTACTACCTAAGGGAAATTTCGTCACTTTGACTTGTTACGGGCATTGTCATAACTTCCCTGAATCATTACTACGGAGCATTTATTATAAGCATTACAATATCGGCTGAACTCACTCCCAACACACATATGAGGGGGTAACACTCGGCTGTCATCCCTATAAAATACACATTCATGACCGAGATTCACAGGATTGTTATTAACTGCCCATTACTCATCTCACGGACGACTTCGACTATTAAAGGGCTCTCATGTTCACTTGAATTCTGTACTTTATTCTCTCATGTACACTCCTGGGGCCTCTATCGTCTTTCCACTCTTTGTAGGTGGGATCCTTCTTGACCTCGAAAGTTACTAAGCTACCCTCCAGATTTGATAGGAACAATTGTTATATGTTCTTATGACAGGTTTCTACTAGCCCATTATGGTGAAAGGCTGCCATGATCTTGTAAAACGTCATCCTTGTCAGTATCACACTTTTCTTATCCATGTACCGGCCAAATCTCTAAACAATGTCACCATACCTTGCCATTCTATTCTTAGGCTCTTGATATTGTTGGACCTTTTGAACCCTCTCATGGTAATAAATTCATAGTCACTAGTAGGATTACTTTATTAAATGGCTAGAAGCTACCCCTCTAAAATCTCAAGATGTGAAATCCATAGTTTGCTTTCCCCATGTTAGGTAGCAACATTTATCAACATTTCTTATGCCATTATGACATCTTTAAATGCATTGTCACCAATAACAGAAAACCATTTGGCAATGAAGATGTAGACAAACTATGCAACATCTACCACATCAGGCATTGTTTCTCAACAATTTATAATCCCCAATCCAATGGACAAGCTAAAATATTAAACAAAACAATAAAAAATATCCTTACAAAAAAAAAAAAAAACTGTTTTTGAATAAGGAAAAGACTAGTTAATTAAGTTCTTCCTCACTTTCTTAACATACTACACCTCTTTTACAACACCAACAGGCACCACACTGTATTCACTTGTCTATGACACCAAAGTTGTTTTACCCATAAAGCTAAAATTCTACATAATACACTTCATCAATTACACATAGACCTCTTAGAATAATATCCATTGCATACTCTTGATAATATGCATTCCTACCAAAAACTCATTGTTATAATAAGCATGTGTGTAATCGTAACTTTAATGTTGATGATTTGATAATCATGTTTCCACTATCATGATAAATTCCATCCTAATTGAAAAGAACTATTTGTTATCATTATTGCGTAGTTTGTTTCTGTTTATTGCTTAACTCATGCTAATGGTATTACCCATACATTCTCTAATTGACATAAAGTATTTGAAGAAATTTTATCCATGACTTATGTTATCACTATAAGTACTTTTATGTGTTTGCAAAATATATTGGTTAGATCTGATCTTTCATTCATTTCATTTACTTACTACCACTGTTGTTTTTATTTTTATTACTTTATCTAGATCTCTCATTTTTTAACTCATTTACTATGTTTTCTTTTTTATCTTCATTTCTTTTTCTTTGGATCATCTTCACACTCACTTTTTTAAAATTTACTACTTTTTTGCCCTCAAAACCATTTTCTTTTCTTCACTTACACACACTAAAACAACTATCCTTTCCTTTCAAATATGCACTTAATCCACACTACTCTCCCTTTTTTTCATTTATTTTCTATATTTTTTATTTGGTGTGTCTTCAATGTCCTTGTTTAACTCTGTTGTCTTCTTTGCTCAATTTTATTTTGGATTTAAACTTTCTATCTTCTACTTTTACACAACATTTTAAAGAAAAATGTCTCTTGTTTGCATTTATTTTGTTTTTTCTCCTTTCTTTCTATGCTTTTTTTCACTTTTAAGTTTTAGAGTGACATTTCTTTCTAGCTACTCTCTTCTATCTATTGCTATATCAAAATAAAGCCTATAAGGATGGTTGTATGCTGTTGTTCATCTTTTTCTTTATTTGCCTTTGGCCTACCTTCTCTTCGTCTTTCTCTTCTCTTGCCTACCTCTCTCTCTCTCTCTCTCTGCCATGTGCTTCCACACGAGACATCCAAGAGGGGCAACCTTTCTTTAGTTACACCCTCTCACTAAAATCTTGGAACCCCATTTCATTCAACTTAGGCTCTTTGCTACCCATTGCATGCAACTAATGGCAAAAAGGGACAATTGTAAGCACGAGTTTTATTTTATTTTTTTTTATATTTTTAAATTAATTCCTCTCTCTCCTCTTGCAAGCCTCATCCCTTTTTTTCTTGTTTTCTTTTTTACCTATTCTCTTCCCTTCTCCCTTTTCTGCCTCCCTTCTTTATCTCCCGATGCTTTTCTTCTCTCCATCTCTCTGTGCAATCTCCCTCCTTGATTTTCACCGCCATATTTCTCTCTCTCTCTCTTCACCATTATTCCCCTCTTCCTCTCTCTTATCCCCTACCTACTCTTTCCATCTTAGGAGGAAGCCCTAACATATTTCTCTTAGAGCCTTTTAAATTCCAAAGGGGACCTTTTGGCTTCTTCAAAGAATACATCTCCAAGAAGAGAAAAGAAATCAATGGATATTCAAGATTAACAAAACTTGCTTCTTATAAAAACTCAACCATAGAGTTTTCTTTTACAATCTTGGATATCCATCAAACTCTCTTTGATTTGGCACTACAAGAAAAATGACTTTGATTGCCGCTAGAAAATTTATCGACAACTGGCAAACTG